ATGATGATGATGATGTATGTTCGGGGCTGCATTGCAATATTGATTGTTCGGATCATTGGTATCTAAGTCTTCCGCTGTGCTATCTTATACTTTGTATTGAAAGGTCGGTTCTTGTTCTGGTCTGCACCTATACGGTATGCAACATGCACACAGCATCATCAACCAACCGGCGAGCCCAATTGGTTGAAGATGCTGGGCCCAGCAAAGATGCTGAGGCCCCGGCCACTCACAGTTGAGCCCCAGGCTCATTCTTGAAGGGCCCTGGGCGCAGCTACTGGGACAGTGGTCGAGCATCCAGAGCCTGCCCCGAGCACAAAGGGGAGAGGTGAGGCTTCACTCAACTCCTTTATTCTGGCTGGCTGGACGGCGGCAGCGCTGCTGAAGCGCGCATTTGTCGGGCGAGAGTCAGCCACGAGGGGGAAGAGGGGCGCCGGCGGAGCACAAGGAAGAAGCTGCCTGGGTGCAGATGGAGGGCGCAGAGGCCATAGCCGAGCTGTGCCCCCATAGGTGGTGTAGCAGAGGTCCTTGGGCGACGGGCTGTGGCAGGAAGACGAGGGAAGGGCGACGTGCAGAGGCGCTTACCCTGTGCTGATGAGCAGGCCACTTCAGTCGGAGTTTTCATTCATCATCAGGCTGTTGTACTTCATGAAAAAGACCTGTTGTAGATAGGAAGTCTACGTCGGCGGGGGCTGTCTGAGTGTAGTCTACGCACCGAGCGCCAGATGGGACAGCGGCGTTGTGGACATTAGTGCTGGAGGCGAGAAGAGGGCTTTCATAAGTTTCATTATCACTTGACTTCAGTGCTTGGCCGTTGCTTTCTTCTTCTTCTTTTTTTTTTTTTTTTTTGGTCCATGATCCCTCCGCAGGTTGCTTGCTTGAATGGTGTTATTTCGCGGTGCGATCTGCTTTCACGTCGCGCACAAAGTCATCTGGATTCAATGGAATGCTGTAATTTGGTTTCTGTCATTCGCTGATGATTTGCACTGCTCATTTTCCTTGACTTCCCTCCTGCATCCTTTTCTTTTTTTTTTTTCAATTGGAGTTATCCACTCGGACTCGGTGTATCCAGGTGGATTTGATCTCATGATCTGTTTATTAACTTTATTAACAGTTCCTTTGCGTTTACCATCGCCAGTGTGCCACCAGGGAGGTACACTGCTTCTCCCCCACATTACCCATAACAGAGCACTGGTTGTTGACTGTCAGTTACAGATGCACTGCTTTTTTTTTCTTCGTTATTTTTTTTTCCTTTTTTTTCTTTTTTTCCCGTTCTTTTCCTTTCGTTTCCGTTTTTTTTCCCTTCTTTTTCTTTTTTTGAAAAATTTTCCCATTTTTTTTTTTAACCGCACACTTTTTCTCTTTTTCAAACAGATGACCTAAAGGACATGTGCTGCCTTTTCGACAAACTACAACATCGCATAATAAAAAATATGTTTTGTTATCCATGATTCAATGTGGATTTGATCCCATGATCATCAGTTTATTAACCACTACTTTGTGTGTCCCATAACCACTCTGCCACCACCAGGCAGTTACACTGCTTCTCACTCACTCTTCCCTTAAACCGTCAGCAGTACATGGCTACCGTCTTCACCCAAATAGAACACCCAGTAATTATGGCTGTATCTGAACTTTAAGTTGCATCAAATTCAGCTATAATGACCAGGCGTTCTATTCGAGTGAAGACGGTAGGCCCAGCCAAACTGAGAATCCCAATTGAGCCTCTCCTTAAGATTGGGAGGCCCGGGATAGTGAGTCCAAAGGGCCAATAGAAGAAGAAAGAAAAAAAATGGTCCCGTGCCATGGGGTGGCACAAGGCCTAGCACTGCACCAAAAAAAAAAAAATCCGCCCACCCCCAGGCGGTCCCTGTCCCGAGTCCCCTAACTTTTTGGAGAGGCTCATCTGAATTCTCCGGATGTACACTGGTGGTTTACACCACCACCGGTTCACATGAGCCAAAGTCGACCGGTGGTTTAAACCAGATGGACTTGCGGTTAAAACCAGATGTACTGGTGGTTTAAACCACCACCAGTTCACACGCAAAAAAAAAAAAGAGCCAAAGTTGACCGGTGGTTTAAACCAGATGCACTTGCGGTTTAAAGTTTAAACCAGATGTACTGGCGGTTTAAACCACCACCAGTTCACACCAGCCAAAGTTGACCGGTGGTTTAAACCAGATGTACTGGTGGTTTAAGCTACCACCACTTCACACGAGCCAAAGTTGACTGATGGCTTAAAGTTTAAACCAGATGTACTGGTGGTTTAAACCACCACCAGTTCACGCAAGCCGAAGTTGACTGATGGTTTAAAGTTTAAACCAGATGTACTGGTGGTTTAAACCACCACCAGTTCAAAGTTCACACAAGCCAAAGTTGACGACAAGGCGGCCTTCCAAGACTCGTGAGGTAATTCAGGATCCTAGAATTTTACTCATTTGACTTTTTTTTTCCCCTTTTTCCCCTAGGTAATTCAGAAATTTAATATTTTACTCATTTGTTTCCAGCCTGCCGCTTTTGCTACAGGCGCAGGCCCAAAGCGAAGCGTCTTACTGCCTATATACCGGCAAGGCCACAACTTTGGCTCGCGGAAAGCTCAACAGCTGATTGAGTGTCAGCTACAGGTGGGCGCTGCCTTTCCCACAACCTACAACTTTCTCTGCTGCTATCTGCATTTCTTAGCTTCACCGACGGTTACACGTTGGTGTTCATTGTGGTTAAGTCCGGTGGCTCATGGTTAAATTTTGGTGTTTCATGGTTTGCAAACTTTGATGGTTCATTGTCAAACTTTGCCATTTCATGGTTAAACTTTGCCATTTCATGGTTAAAATTTCCCATTCCATGGTCAAACTTTGGTATTTCATGGTCAAACTTTGCCATTTCATGGTTAAACTTTGCCATTTCATGGTTAAAATTTCCCATTCCATGGTCAGACTTTAATTTTTCATGGTCAAACTTTGCTGTTTCATGGTTAAACTTTGGTGTTACATGGTCAAACTTTGGCGTTTCATGGTTAAACTTTGGTGTTTCATGGTTAAACTTTGGTGTTTCATGGTAAACTTTGGTGTTTCAAGGTTGAACGTCGGTGTTTCTCATCGGTCAATCACGGTTAAACTTTGGTGCTTCATGGCTCAAGGTTCACCTCTTTGGTGTTTGCATGTGTTAATGATGGTCAAACTTTGGTGTTTCATCGGTTAAACTTCAGCATTCCATGGTTCAACTCGGGTGTCTGAAGGTTTAACCTTGGCGTTACCCATTCGATAATCATGGTTAAGCTTCAGTGATCATCGTTGAACTTAAAACCACTAGTACCTTCGCCGTTTCAGAAATGAGGGAAAATGCAAGCTCCCGAAGAATTCGGAGGACGGGCCAGACGACGGCTGCCATTGATAAATCTAATCGGCGGCTGTCGTTTCGTTTCGGCCTCCTGAAAGGTCGGAGACCCGCTATTTTCCGAACCGACAAAGGTACTAGTGGTTTAAACTTTAATGATCGAAGGTTAAACTTTGGTGTTTTGCATGTGCTAAATGGTTTTCAACGGCTGTGATGTTCTTCTCTTTTTCTTTTTCTTTTATTCGATCAACCCGAACATAAACGGGAGAAAACAAGAAAAACAAAACACAAAAAAATTGAGAAAAGGAGAGTCGACCATTTGACCTCACAGGGTTTTACCGCTGCAAATGACAGAAAAGAGTGCAGGTCGCCCGTTCTCCGGGGATATGCGTGAAAATTTCAACAGGTCCCCTGTACCAAGAAGTTTAGCATGGCCGTCAAAGAATAGTTCAAATTAATTCTTTTTAAAAAGGAAAAAAAAAAGATAAAAAGAAAACAGGTCACCTTGTGTATTGTGTAGTAGGGTGCCCACACAGGCTTGATAGCCTCGAACCGATCGAAAAACTCCTCAGGAAACGCCGACAAGTAGCCTGAGCCGATCGCTTTCTGACACTCTGCCAGCGCCTCCACCAAGTCCTTCATCCTCTCGAACAGACGCCTATTTCCAGTGCTAGCCCACATCATGGCCGATGCACTGAGATAATGACCTGTATATTTAGTTTGGTGGGGGGGGAAGCAGTTTTCATAACAAAAAGCATTTTTTTCAAATGTCAGATTNACTGAGATAATGACCTGTATATTTAGTTTGGTGGGGGGGGAAGCAGTTTTCATAACAAAAAGCATTTTTTTCAAATGTCAGATTTCCACAAAATCGAAGTGTACCCCCCTCCCCGTGGCCCCCCAGCAAACGAAAACCATCTTCCCCTCAATTTTCAGAAAGAGAGATTGCAGTATATCCCCTCCCAAAGAGAGGAGAAATACCCTCACTTTTCAGAAAGAGAGATTGCAGTAACGGTACAGAGCAGAACAAGAACCGACCTCGCTCACAAAGTACAAGATAACACAGCAGAAGTCTTAAATAGTAAATACCAATGATCCAAACAGTCACTGTTGCCATGCAAACCAAACATACATCATCATCATTCCATGGTGTGAAGGGGTCTGGCGCTCACACAGGAAGAATGCGCCAGTCCCCAACTATACACAGACGAAGAAGAGGGGGGTTAGACGAAGAAGAGGGGAAGATGGGAATGTCGTCAACACCAAGTCTTCGATACAGTCCCAAATAATCCCTCGTCAAATGTCTGAATCCCAATGTCAAGTCTGGATCCAAATGTCGTCAAATCCCAAAGTCACCAATCTCTCTCTCTCGTAGTCTGCAGATACTGAGAAGTCAGGTAGCGAGAGGGTGAGGAAGAGATGGTGGACTTAGAAGAGGAAGAAGAAGAACTCTCTCTCTCTCTCTCTCTCTCTCTCTGGTACTAACCTGTGAAGGTGGCACCTCGTTGCAGGTACATCGAAGACGAAGCTGGACCTGTGGCGCCACAGGTAAGTCTCCCTGGCCCCCGCCAACCATCTCTCTCTCTCTCTCTCTCCAACGCTACTCTAGCTGCTACTAGCGCCCAGCGCTGAAGACTACTGCTAACGCTACTACTACTCCTGCAGCGCTCCTCCAGAGTGCTGCTGCCGAATCCTGAAGACTACCTCCTGCCTCCTGCACGTGAAGTGCCTGGGAAGTTCCTATAAACTGCCTCGTGACTGCCTGCAGGCTGCAAGGCGGGCCAGTCTTATATAGTGCTGGCCCGTGCAGGAGGCTGCTCTTGCCAATGCCAAAACGTGCCAGACCCTGGCGTTGAAGCTCAACCAAGGGTTGTCTTGAAAATAGGCCCAAAATGGCCTGTGCTAAAACCCTGGTCTGGTGCCTAAGTTTCAGGGCAGGTCGATCTTATGAGGGCCTGAAAATGGCCCTCCGTTTCAGGCTGAAAAGACTCAGGGCCTGTAGGACCCTGTTTTAGGTTGAAACGACACAGGGCCTGTAGGCCCTTGTTTTCAGGCTTTCAGGCTGAAACGACACAGGGCCTGTAGGCCCTCGTTTTCAGGCTTGTAGGCTGAAACGAAATAGGCCCTACACCTACTGACCCTTAGTCTACCTTGTTGGGCTCTGATGGGCCCGTGTGGTACAGAGTATGCCTGTGGCATACTGTGCAGCCACACGGGCCTTGCAGGGCCCGTCCCGGACCTCCAGCCTGTTTCCCTACAGGGAAACTTCCAGGCTCTTGCCTGGAAGCTTCCTTCTGGCAGGGCCTACAGRCCCCAGCCTGTTTCCCTACAGGGAAACTTCCAGGCWCTTGCCTGAAAGCTTCCTTCTGACAGGGCCTACAGGCCCCAGCCTGTTTCCCTACAGGGAAACTTCCAGGCTCTTGCCTGGAAGCTCCCTTCTGACAGGGCCTACAGGCCCCAGCCTGTTTCCCTACAAGGAAACTTCCAGGCTCTTGCCTGGAAGCTTCCTTCTGACAGGGCCTACAGGCCCCAGTCTGTTTCCCTACAGGGAAACTTCA